GTGTGCCGAAATGGGTGTGGGGGACGCATGCGGCCGCGGGGAGGCAGCGGGAGGAAGGAAGGAGGGAGAACGCGGGGCACCGTCTCTTCAAAACGAGGACCCAACACCACAGGATGGTTGGGAAAAAAAAATGCCCCCCCCCCCTCCCCACCCACCACCCACCACCACACGAACCCCCACCATCATCACTGCCCTGGCGGAGCGGGCGCCCACGGGACGGCTGAGAGAGCGAGGTGAGGGAACGTGTGGAGGGGAATGGAGAGCACGAGTATGCCTGTATATACATATATGGGCCCTGGCCAAGGAGATGAGTGTCCAAGGACCTCCGAACAAACGAAACGACTCCCCCTTCCCCCCAATTCGTGCGTGAAGCGCTTGCGGTGGACCGAAATCCCTCCAAAACGAAACATCGATTCCAGCAGGGGGGGGGAATAGGCCAGGACCCATATATATATATATATACATATATGTATGTGTGTGACTTTCTTTATGTCTCTCGCAAGATGGGGTCCTTTTTTTGGGGGGCGCATGTTTACAGATGGGTGTGTGTATGAGTGTATGGTCCCAGCCGCGTGGCCCAATCTGGTTTTGTGGCTCGCGCTGATGAGAGAGTAGTTCGTTGTTCGTCTTCAACGCTGAGTGGTGCCTCCTTTCTCGTTTCATGGTCCACGTCGCCCCCATTCACCACCTTGGTGTCCTCAAGGTCGAGGGCATCTTTTTTCCAAACTTCGGGCCAGAGACTGGAATTCCTAGTGTCTCTTGTCACTGTGCTCATATACCCAGGCATCTTGAGTCTGGGCGCTCTGCACCCGACCTCCCCGGCTCGATGCGGAGAGCGTCAGATCTATCCGAAGCCTGATTCGTTGTTCCCCATCCTCCTGTGCTGGCGTCTCGCTATGGCTGGAGCACCGTGGTCTCCACCCCTCCTTCCCGCATCGTCCTTCTCCTGCCTGCTCCTCCTCCTCGCCCTCCTCCTCCTGCTTGCCCCTCTTCATCGCTCTCGCGGCCCCTTGTTGGGCTGAGGAGTGGCGCCACTGACGCCACTCTTCGTGGGCTCCCGGGAGGTCCAGCGGAGTGGAGGGCCACGCAGACCCAGCCGAGGCCTCGCGGCCCCCTGCGAGCGGAGGGGTGCTCCTGTGCACTGCGGGTCCCTCAACATTCTCGTCCGTATGGAGCGGCCCCGGGTATGGTCGCCACGCGGTCAGGCAAAAGGCCGGGTACGCCGCAGGGTGTGACTGTTGCGAGCGGCCTGCCCCCCGAGCTCTCGACCTCCTCCTCCTCCTCCTCCTCCTCCTCCTCCTCCTCCTCCTCCTCCTCCTTGGTACGGGCGCTCCTCCTCCTCCTCCTCCTCCTCCTCCTCCTCCTCCTCCTCCTCCTCCTCCCGGGGACCTGCTCTTCGTCCCGAGTTCTCCGTCCGCCCGCGAGCCCCCACCGGCGGAGCCCTCGCCTCGCCCTCACAGCGAAAACAAACAATATATTCGGTGGAGGGGCGCACGGCGCGCCAGCGGTGCACAAAGCGGCCCGATGCGTCTGTGTTCCACTCGTTACTTCTGCATGCCCTTCGCCTTCGGCACCGCCGGATCATAGGGAACCGCCTGACAGAGGGGGGAAGGCAGGATGAGGGGCCTCACGTCAAGGCCAAGAGAGGGCAACGCCCGGGATCATAGGGAAACAAAAAGTGGCAAAAACATAAAAACTCGGAGGTCCGCGCGGATTTCTTGGATCGGCGCTGGACCCCCCTCCCTGGCGCGCGGAGCGCGCCAGGGGCGGCGCCAGAGGCGCCGCCGGGGGGCCCCAGCGCCGATCCAAGAGATCCGCGCGGACCTCCGAGTTGTTATAATTATGTTACTTTTTGTTCCCCTATGATCCTGGGGCGTTGCCCTCTCTTGGCCTTGACGTGAGGCCCCTCCTTCTGCCTTCCCCCCTCTGTCAATGAAAACGCTGTGCGCTGCCCGCTTAGCTTCGACCGGAAGAGGTGCGCTCTCGACCCGCGGATCAAGAAAGTGTTCCTTTCGTGGCATTCGGGATCGTAACAGTTGTCTCGATGTCCGGGGGCAGCAGAGAAGGGGGTGAGGACCAGCGCGGGGGGGAGATCATGGCGGGGGCCATGATATGTCCCCAGATTTCATGGCGTCTCTTCTTATTTCATGACGTCCCTGGCCCCCCGCTGGGCCGCGCACACGCCGCCGGTCATGGTTTGCACCCCCCCCTCTTGGACACCATCCTCTTGGCCGCTTCCGAGATGTCGAGCTGCGATGCCGAGGAAGAAGTGTTTGATTGGGATAACAGGGACCTCTTGGAGGTACCCCTGAGCGGGAGTGCATATTGCGTGGGCTTCTGAGCGTAACTTCGAGGCCTCGGGGGTGGTATCTCGGGAGTCTGTTCAGGGTTCCTGTGGGCATGGGGTGGCCCCCTGGGGGCTTCTCGGGGGCCTCTGGGGGACATGTTGGGGGTCTTCGGGGTCGCCTTGAGGCCTTTAGGGGGAAGGGCTCACAGGGCCCCTACGAGGTCCCCCTCTTGGAACCCTCTTGATGGCCAGTTTAGCCGTCTTCGGCCCCTTGGGCAGTCTTGAAGCCGTCCTGGGCCGGTTGCGGGCCGTCGTGGAAGCATATTTCAAGCCGATCCTGGGGGCTTCTTGGGCCGTGTTGGGTCTGGAGGAGCCTGGGAAGGCGAGAACGCGAAACACACGTTTGCAAAACAATTACAAATCATCGATGCTTGCCGTTCGATGTCGTCTCGGGGGTCCTCTTGGGGCACTCTCTGGGCATCTTCGGGGTCTCTTCGGCCGACCCGAGGCCATCTTGGATGTTCTCGAGGCTCATCCGGCGAGTTGGATTCCTTGTTGAGCCATGTCCGAGGGCATCTTAAGCATGTTGGAGGCCACGTACGGTGGATTTGGAAGCCTTGACGGCCCTGGGGAACTGCTGACGAGTTCCCGGCCCCACCCCCACCCCAATGCCTCCTACGGGGGCACACAAGTGTTGAACACGCCAGTCCAACCCGGGCAAGCGGGGGTGGACGATTAAAGTGACAACGTATGTAGAATCACGCCAGGGAGACCCCTCATATAATTATACGACTGCAGCAATTCTAATCAAGTCATGTTGAAGCTTCGACCCCAATATGTTCCCATTGCGGGTGAAATTATAGTAGAATCCGACGGTGGGCGGCTGAGAACCATGAGAGTGTTAACATGATTGTTGCTTATTATTAGAGTCGATTAGATGGACAACTCCAGGTATAATGCTTCCGAAGCTAGAGCTCGAAGAGAACGTGAAGATCTGGAGGGTAGTTATGATTCCGATTGGAAAATGTGAACGACCGCCCAAGTAGCGTTTTGATATGGCTGGCTACACCTCTGCTGGCGAATCACCCAACCAGTGCTACAAATCTGCTGCATTTCGATTGAAGCTAGTGTTGTATGGAATCCAATGTTAAAAAAAACAAATATAGTAGAAGCCTGATACAGCTACATATCCAACACATGCTTCCCCAGATCTAGAACCTGGGTAAAACCTAACATGAGGGTTGGTCCATCATACTGATATTTCAAATGGCCACGGTGTCAACGAAGCGATATTTCGCACGAACTTGATCGAATATTCCAAGGGCTCGAAGAGACAGACATTCGAGGGCTCGATGACACTGTATAATCCGAGTGTGCTTGCATTATTAATATTGCAGTGGACATGGCAGAGCATGTGTTAAAGCGCCATCAGGGCTGGATGCGTCATCGCTTTCGCGATAGTCGTTTACGTTGCTGGCGTAATTCCAATATACACGTGTGAGGGCCCAAACGAGCCTCGAACCCCTTTTACAACAAACCATTGGCATACATCTGGAAAATCCCATGGGTCCGACACCGAACCGAAACCGGCAGCCCAAACGTACCTAGAAATGCATTGGTGAACAAGAATCTTTTTTTGTGCCTGAACAGAAGGCTTGTGCGACACACCCAAAGGGAGGTGCCCAAGGTGCCTGCATGAATTCACACGCACTCGGCCCTCGCAACATGAATGGCAGCACAGACGCGCCCCGGGCGTCTCATCTGCGCCGGCGTTGCGAGGTGCCTCGAGATGCCACCCCGATACACGGCCACCGACACCACCCCCACTTGGCTGCTGGCCTCCAGCAGCGGAGACCCCGCTGCCCGAAGACTTTAGTTCCCGCGCCCCCCGCCCGTCGGGGGACCCCTTCGAGTAATCCGATCGGGCCTCTCAGGATGAATCAGATGAAGCGCGCCTGATACCGCTTTCGCGGATACGAGTGATGGGGCGGCGGGGTCTGTGATGTTCTGCGAAAGTTTGCCGCAGACCGGGTAGTTTCAGACATTGCATAGCGAGCCCGCCGCATGCGCAGATCTTTTGTTAATGAACTGTGGGTGGGTCGTGGGTGGGTCGCTGGTGGTTCGCAGGTGGGTCACAGGCGGGTCGCGGGTGTATGGCTGGTGGGTCGCGGGTGGGTCTCGAGCGGGTCGCGGGTGATGGCGGCAACAACAAACAACAAGAACAATCATTTTGATTGCGGAAGCCCACTTCAGCTATGCACCCAGGGATGGTGTAACCGATGTCATCACCGCTCGGTTTCATAATGCAAGTAAGGAGTGGCACAATCAGAACAAGATGATTCCGCGGCTGCCCTGCTCCCATGGATCGCGGCAGAATATCTTACGAGTTTTTGACCCGCTCATTCATGTCATTCGCGCATGATGATGTTCAACGACGACGATGTTGTTTACGCGATTCTTTCGTGCCAGCACGACGGTATCTCTCTCTGCCAACACGACGATGCACATAATCGTTCGCAGCAGGACGATTGTCGCAAGCTGCCCAAGAGTTTAGAGTATGGTACCACAGCGAGATTGCGCCATCCTCGCTGGGACAGATCCATTCGTCCGAAGCGCGCGCCGATCTGATGACCATCGATTCGGCTTCAGTGGATCGGGACATGAGCGCAGAGGGCTTCAGGAGGCGGGGCTACAGAAACATCGTCGTTGGCGTCTTGACTTGAGCGGGGCATGGTCACGGGTGGGTGATCCGCGCGTGGCCGACGTTGTCGGTGGTCAGGTTCGGCCGTTCCGGTCCGCCCGCCTGAGTTTTGACATGCACTTCGTCGTCCATGGCCGTATGGGTTCAGGGTCAGTTCGCGCAGCAGCGTTGCGAGCCAGCGCAGGGGGGTACGTAGATGGATTGAACATTGAGGGCCGCGCTACACCTCCGTATTCTCCAGCCCTCCTTCGTATTCTTGTATTCCCGCCTCTTCTTTTGTCCCCTTAATCTATCTCTCTCTATATATATATCGTTCCCTCTCTCTGTCTCTCCCCCCTCTCTCGCTGTTTCTTATCTCTCCCTAGCTTTTTCCCCAAACATGTGTATATATATATATATATATGTATAGCCATCTCGCTCTCGTTGTCTCTCTGTACTTCTCTCTCGTTGTGTGCGTCCCTCTGTTTTTTTGTTGTCTCTCTCTCTCTCTCTGTCGTGTTGCCCCTCTTTCTCGTTATGTATGGTTTTGTTTTCTCTCTCTCTATCTCTCTCTCTCTCTCTCTCTCTCTCTCTCTTTATCGCTCTTTATTCTCTCGCTATATCACTATATATCTCCCTCTCTCCCCCTCTCTCCCTTTGCGTATCTCAATGTGTTTCTCCCTCTCTCTCACTCTCTCGTTGTCCCTGGTTGTTATAGTTTTATTGTTCTGTGTTGACAATATCCCTCTCTCTCTCTCGCTTTCTCTCTCTCTCGTTCTCTTTCCCTCCCTCTCTCTATATCTCCATCTCTCTCTATCTCTTTGCTCTCTCTCTCTCTCTCTATTTGTATATGTATAGATATCCTTCTCTGTGTGTGTATATGTACATGCTGTTATCGCTCCCCCTATGTGTTTCTCTCCCTCTCTCTCTCTCTCTGTCTCTATCTCTCTCTCTCTCTCTCTTTCCCAACCCTTCTATGGGAGGGTACTCGTTTTGAATAGAGCACTGTGGTCGCCCCATCCTCCTTCTCCTCCCCCCTCCTTCCCTCCTCCTCTCCTGTTTCCTGTGTTCCCCTCTCCTCTTCTCTCGTGCCATCGGGCTGCGATCTGCACAATTGTCGCCACTTTCGTGGGCTCCTGGGAGGTCCAGCGGAGGCTCGTCCCACGCGGACAACCTCGAGACTTCGCGGTGCCCTGGGGGCTGCGATATGCGCAATTGTCGCCTTTTTTCGTGGGCTCCTGGGAGGCCCAGCGGAGGTACGTCCCACGCGGACCACCTCGAGACCTCGCGGCGCCCTGGGGGGCTGCGATCGGCGCAGCAGTCGCCACTTTCGTGGGCTCCCGGGAGGCCCAGCGGAAGTGCGTCCTACGCGGACCACCTCGAGACCTCGCGGCGCCCTGGGGGGCTGCGATCGGCGCAGCAGTCGCCACTTTCGTGGGCTCCTGGGAGGCCCAGCGGAAGTGCGTCCTACGCGGACCGTCTCGAGAACTCGCGGCGCCTTGGGGGGGCTGCGATCTGCACAATTGTCGCCACTCTCGCGGGCTCCTGCGAGGCCCAGCGGAGTTTCACCCAACGCGGACCACCTCGAGACCTCGCGGCGCCCTGGGGGGCTGCGATCTGAGCAATTGTCGCCGATTTCGTGGGCTCCTGGGAGACCCAGCGGAGGTACGTCCCACGCGGACCACCTCGAGACCTCGCGGCGCTTTGGGGGGGGGCTGCGACCTGAGCAACTGTCGCCACTTTCGTGGGTTCCTGGGAGGCCCAGCGGAAGTGCGTCCCACGCGGACCACCTCGAGACCTCGCGGCGCCCTGGGGGGGGCGATTTGCGCAATTGTCGCCACTTTCGTGGGCTCCTGGGAGGCCCAGCGGAAGTACGTCCCACGCGGACCACCTCGAGACCTCGCGGCGCCTTGGGGGCGATGCGGTCGCCACAGGCCCATACGTCCCACGCGGACCACCTCGAGACCTCGCGGCGCCTGGGGGGCTGCGATCTGCGCAATTGTCGCCACTTTCGTGGGCTCCTGGGAGGCCCAGCGGAAGTACGTCCCACGCGGACCACCTCGAGACTTCGCGGCCCTGGGGGGCTGCGATCTGCGCAATTGTCGCCACTTTCGTGGGCTCCTGGGAGGCCCAGCAGAGGTACGTCCCACGCGGACCACCTCGAGACCTCGCGGCGCCGGGGCTGCGATCGGCGCAGCAATCGCCACGTTCGTGGGCTCCTGGGAGGCCCAGCGGAAGTTCGTGCCACGCGGACCGTCTCGAGAATTCGCGGCGCCTTGGGGGGGCTGCGATCTGCACAATTGTCGCCACCTTCGTTGGCTCCTGCGAGGCCCAGCGGAGGTTCGTGCCACGCGGACCACCTCGAGACCTCGCGGCGCCCTGGGGGCTGCGATCTGAGCAATTGTCGCCACTTTCGTGGGCTCCTGGGAGGCCCAGCGGAGGTACGTCCCACGCGGACCACCTCGAGACCTCGCGGCGCCCTGGGGAGCTGCGACCTCAGCAACTGTCGCCATTTTCGTGGGCTCCTGGGAGGCCCAGCGGAAGTACGTCCCACGCGGACCACCTCGAGACCTCGCGGCGCTTTGGGGGGGGGCTGCGATCTGCGCAATTGTCGCCACGTTCGTGGGCTCATGGGAGGCCCAGCCGAAGTACGTCCCACGCGGACCACCTCGAGACCTCGCGGCGCCCTGGGGGGTTGCGATCTGCGCAATTGTCGCCACTTTCGTGGGTTGCTGGGAGGCCCAGCGGAAGTACGTCCCACGCGGACCACCTGGAGACTTCGCGGCGCCCTGGGGGGCTGCGATATGCGCAATTGTCGCCACTTTCGTGGGCTCTTGGGAGGCCCAGCAGAAGTACGTCTTATGCGTTGCCGCTGCTCTTCTTGCTGCGCTCTTCTGATTTCACTGCTGGGTGCTCTTCTTCCGCACTGCGGGTGTTTCAGCATGCCCGTCAGCATTGAGTGGTCCTGAGTGTAACCACCACATGTATAGAAAGGGTTGCGTACGTCGCGGGGTAAGTATGGATGGTTGTTTACGTATCTCCCCCGTATTCTTAGATGGGGTCATCGTTAATGTTCAGGCGCCTCCTACTTACCTCCTTATGTTCCCATCCCCGTCCTCCTCTTGCATACACACGCACAGAGTCAACCACAATCAGACCCACTCGTCACAATAAGACCCATTCACACTAAGACTCACTCACACTGAGACCAACTCGCACTCAGACCCATTCACACTCAGACTCGCCTACACTCAGCCTCCTATCAGCCCCATCACTTCCTCACTCAGATTGCTCATACTCAGAATCACTCACCGTCAGATTTAGAATTCGTTATTTGGCTGGCCACGTCAAGACTTGCCTCCAGACTCTGGAGATGTCTCAGGCTGTTTGCTCGTTTATGCCCCCCCCCAGACTTTTCTTTTTTGGTGGAGCAATGTTCACAGCGATATGGCAGGCGTGGCACTTGGGCACCCAAAGGGGGAGCCGCAAGGGGTGGGGGCACTCCATGATTCGACGCCCAATGTGTGGGGGGATGTCCCGGGCGGCTTGCCTGCGTCTGCCCCCCTCGACTTCTCTTGTGTGGTGGTCCGTTGCTCACTGCGATAGGGCAGGTGTGGCACTTGGGCACCCCAAGGGGGAGCTGCCAGGTGTCAGGGCACTCCAGGAGTTGCGCCCGGATCGTGGGGATGGTTAAGGAACAGGGGGAGGAGGAGGAGGAGGAGGAGGAGGAGGAGGAGGAGGAGGAGGAGGAGGAGGAGGAGGAGGAGGAGGAGGAGGTGGAGGTGGTGGAGGAGGAGGAGGAGGAGGAGAAGAAGGGGGAAAGGGGAGGGGGAGGAGGGGGAGGAGGAGGAGGAGGAGGAGGAGGAGGAGGAGGAGGAGGAGGGGGCGGCGGAGGAGGAAGAGGAGGAGCTCTTGCCTGAGCTGCCGCAGTGAGGACGGTCAGGGGACTTCCCCCTTGCTCTTGCATTTGTTCTGCCCCACCTCTCCCGGGAGGTGTTGAGAGGAGAGAGGGAGGGCGTCACAGAAGTCGTCGCCGTCGTCGTCACTGTCGCCCCCGTCGTCAACGCGGACTCGCGTTCATACACCCAGATACTCGCAGACCGACTCTCTCAGCGAGACGTGCCAGGAATATGAGATGCACATATGAAGATCTCCGCGCCGAGTAAGCCTTTCAATCTATATATATATATATATATATATATATATATACATAGATATTATCTTCCTCTCTCTCTCTCCCTCTCTCCCTCTCTGTGCATACGTGTGCTCGTTCTCCCTTTCTCTCTCTCTCTCTCTGTCTCTCGCTCTCTCCCTATCCGCCAGTCTTCCTCTTCTCCATATGTTGGCGCTCAGTGTCTAAGCGTTCCCCATACATTCCTCCTCCTTCTTGTTGCCACCTCCCAGTGTCATCCTTCCTCCTGGCTTTTCCTCTCGGTACCACCTTCCCACTCTTCTCATCAGTTTCCTCCTTCCGCCATCCATCCCGCTATCCTACCCTTCTTCCCCTCCTCATGCATGTCTTCCTCCTGGATACCCCTCCCTCCATCCGCATCATGCGCCTCACATGCTGCCCTCCCCTGCGCTCCGTTCATCAGTCATCCCTTCTCCTTCCACACTCCTTCCATAGTTCTTTGTTTGTTCCTACCTCATCCTTCCCCCATCCCTCCCTCCCTCCATCTTCCGCCCACCCTCCCTCCGCCCCCCCCCCTCCCCTTCCTCCGCACCGCTCCCCTCCCTCCGTTTTTCACCCCCCCGTCCTTCCGATCCCTTCCCCCCCCACACCCCTCGCGACCTCCCACACACTCTGGAGGAAAGGAAGAAGCGAGGTGGCAGGGGAGGAGGAGAAGGAGGAGGAAAGGGGGAGGAAGAGGAGGAGGAGGAGTGGTGGTCGAGCGGAGGAGGCAGGAAGGAGGAGGAGAGTATTACGGGCGTGCGGATCAGGGGGGAGAAGGCTTGTGGTCTGAGTTGTGCCACCGACAGCGTACCACCTGGCGAGGCGGCGACATTGCGCGTGGGATGTTAGTTGTTCTCCATCTATGGACAGACACCCTGCCTGGGCATTTGTTGACCGCAGCAAAACAATTTCAGCCATGGGCAAGTTCATCAAGGCTGGCCGCGTGGTGGTGCTCCTCCAGGGCCGCTACACTGGCAAGAAGGCAATCGTGGTGAAGCCTTTCGATGACGGGTCCAGGGCCCGGCCTTTTGGCCATTGTTTGGTCGCGGGTGTGGACAAGGCTCCCCTCAAAGTGACGAAGACAATGGGCAAGAAGAAGATTGCCAAGCGGACTCGCGTCAAGCCGTTTGTGAAGTACGTGAACTACAACCACATGATGCCAACCCGCTACCAGGTGCCCGCGGAGGTCGGCGTGCAGTCCTGGGTGACGGACCAGCAGATGGACAATCCGGACGGCCGCGTGGAGGCCAAGAAGCTCATCAAGAACGCCTTCCAGGAGAAGTTCGCGAGCCCCCCCGCGGACAAGGCGGGCAAGCCCTCCAAGGACGTGCTCTACCTCCGGAAGAAGCTGCGCTTCTGAGGAATTGCCAGAGAGCATGCTCGTGCTCCACGCCGGCGCTGCCGCAAAACTCCGACCCATCTCAAGACTTCCCGTGCCTGCCGCCAGCAGCTCGAGCGGCCCCCGGAGCAACGCTCCCTTCCCTCGGTTAGACGTAAGAGTGACCTTTCGCCGGAGTGACCTTTGGTGCGGGCACAGATGGGTCCCCAGATGGCTGAAAACGAAGCAGGAGCAGCGGCTTGAGCGCACAGGTTTGGTCCCCCCGCGACCCCCAAAAAGCCGCGCACCAAAGGTCACTCTTACCCAGGGTCACTCTTGCGTGTAGCCGATTCCCACACGATCCAGGCCTGCCACAGAGGTGCCCCCGGCCCGAGGTGCCCCCGGCTTTCTTGCTCCCTTCTGAGCTCCCCTGGGGCCCTCGCAGCCTCGTGAGGGGGGGCTCTGGCGAGGCCGTGGGGGGGAGCCTCCTCTCGGGACTCCCTGGGGGGCACCCCGCGGCCGGGAGCGCTGTCCAGCAGCACCCCGAGCCGAGCGCCCCGCCTCGCTCCCGGAGGCGCTGGCCGACGGCCGGAGGGTGAGCCCCGAGGGCCCAGGCGCTGTCGGGAGCGAGGCTCGTCACGGACTCGGTCGAGTAGGACGCGCCCAATTTTGTCTCGGGCCTGTCCCCCTACAGGAGGAATGTTCAAAGATAGTCAAAAAATAGTCGGGGGACGATGTTTTGGCTATGTTCGACCCTTTGGGGGATCTGTTTGGACAATCTTTTATCCTTCGTCCGCAATCCCTGTAGGGGGACACGCCCGGCCTAAGCCCAATTGTTTCTCCGTTCGCCGGACGCGTTCCACTACTCGCAGAGCGTCTACAGTCAACCCGCCAAGTAAGGATGGGCAACCCTCCCAAGGGTACGCTTGCATCCTTGCATCCTTGCCTCCTCGGTCCATCCTGGGCCGCTTTCGCTGGCAGTGCCCCGCTCGCAAAGTGTCGACATGGCCTTTCACGGCCCCTGCATCCTTATCGTGCGTCCCTATGACACAGGTTGACTGTACTCGCAAACGTCCCAAAAAGACAATGTTGGTCTCGACGTAACGGATTGTGAATCACCCGCGGCGGATCCTGGCCATCTGCGAGAGTCCTTCTGCGAGTGCATCGTGGAACGTGCTTGTCTCTTTGTCTTCGCCGTCGCCGCAAATCGCGGCTACAGTCGAGGCGCTGAAGAAGGAACCCTTTTCGTTGGGGAGGGGCTCGGTGTTCCTTGATTGTTTCACAGCTTGCCTCAGGTTTTCCTTATGTTTTCAATGGGAAATCGAAGTTTAACTTGTGGAAAAAAGGGGCGTCGTTCCTTATTTAGGGTTCCTTAGGTCAACGCCCCGACTGTATCGATGTTGCCATCCTCGTCCCCGCCATCGTCTGCACAGAGCCCGATGCAGTCACAGGGGCGGGGGAGCCTGCGAGTACTGCTTTGCCGCTGCTCCACCCGATCCCCATGGCCCAGGAAACCTTCAGGAACCACCCGAGAACGCATGAGGCATCGAACGCATCCGCCTCCTCATTATCACCCCTCTTATTATCATCATCATCATCATCATCATCATCATCATCATCATCATCATCATCATCATCATCACCATCATCATCAGCAGCAGCAGCATCAGCATCAGCATCAGCATCAGCATCAGCATCAGCATCCTCAGCGTGGCTTGTTGGCTCCTGGAGCTGCATGCATCGAGAGTTACTGAGGTGCTGCATCGAAACTGCAGCTGCAGACTCGCGGGGACACACCGCCAGAACTGCTCGATCGATCTCCCTGCCGAGGCACAGTGCAGCAGACAGGAATGTGTTTTGGATGCGAACTTGAAGCCGGGCGGCAGGCAGGAGAACACACATCTTTCTCCCTTGGCCCCTGGTGGTCATGAGGCTGCCTGGTTGCATTGGGGCTGACCTTGTTGCTGCCTTTCACCCCAGCTCAGGGGAGCAAGATGTTCATGTATGGAATGCGTTCCAAGATTTCTAGGTGCTCATGCTGTTCCATTCGAACTCCAGAGACGAGGGCCGCTACGGTCGGGAACTTCGGAAACTTTTGATGGACAGCGTGTCGCTCCGCTGGTTCTGGCCCACCACGCTTCGGCTCGACACGCTAACCACGTCCCGGCCCCAGAGCGTCAACGTTTTGAGCATGTCCCAGCTTCCCGCCCTGCGGAGCGGAGCGACACGCAATCTGTTTGCAGGGCATAGCGTCTCGCTGGGGCAGTCGCCGCGACACGCTAAGCAAAAGTCCTCGAGCGCATAATGAGCCAGTCGCATCGCGACATTCTCCTCGTCCAGCCGGCGCCCGACATGTTCGGGACATCTGCCGCAGTCGTGGCGGCCACCCTGATGGCCAAGGACGAAGCACGGCGCAGCTCCGTGCGCCCTTGAGTGGATCGCGTGGAGTGACGGCAGCGGGGCCCCAGCCTGCTTCCCCTCCTCTTGCTCCTCCTCCGCCTCCTCCTCCGCCTCCTCCTCTTCTTGCACCTGGCCATGCCTGGGGACACGTGCTTTCTTGAAGCCTCTGACGGAGAGGAGCTTCGGGCATCAGCTTGTCGTTGTTGCTGTTGTCGCGATGCTTGCTCCAGCTTCTGGAGACCCAGCGGGTTTCGAAGAGGCTCAGCGTGTTTCATTGTTGTGTGTCAAATGCAGTGGCTGGAGCCAGGAGAAGGCCATTCAAGGCGGCTCGGGCGTGTACTCCCCCACCAGACCTGGTTCTGCGAATCCCTCGGGGTTCAGACGTGGACTTGCCCCGAATTCCCGAGTTCGTGCTGCCGTCGATCGGGCCGTACCTGCCCTTCGAGTCGGTCCCGAAGTGGTGTCGGCTCGGCAGGTCAGGGAGTCCACGAGTGTTGGCCGCTTTCGGCCCCCCGCGCGAGACCTCACGAGCATAGGTTGGCCCAGCTGCACGAGCGTACTCGTGCGAAGGAGGAGAAGGGGCACAGACTCTCCAGCATCCCGGGACAGGCGCCCCCGACGGCGTATATATATATATATATATATACATACATACATACATACATACATACATGCATGCATGCATGCATGCATGCATGCATGCATACATACATACATATATACATACATCTATACATACAGACAGACAGACAGACATATATACGTGCATACATAAATACACCCACATACATACATACATACATGCATGCATGCATGCATGCATGCATACATACATACATGCATACATACATATATACATACATACATACATACATACATACACACATACATACATGCATACATACACATATGTACACCTGTATACATGTATACACATACATATATATATATATATATATATATATATATGTATATGTATGTTATACCACGATTCGCCTGCCGATGCTCTCTGTTCTTCCAGGCTCTCCGGGGCGGGCGCCTCAGCACCAGGAGGTTGCGCCCGTCGGTGCACCACCGCAGCTTCCTCCTGCCTCCAGCCAGCCCGGCAGCCGGCGCGGGGGGGGGGGCTCGGTCGGGCGTTCCCGCCGACGCGAGAAGCGAACCCGAGGCGCGCTAGGCTGCACCACCCCAGGGCCCCCCAATACGCAGAGCAAGCAGCCTTCAGCCAACACGGCCGCAGAGGCGGATGAAGTGGGAAGGTCAACGGGCGAAGAACGGTATAACATCAACTGTTGCGCCGTCGGGGACGCCTGCCCCAGCGCGACCACGACGGCGAAAAAGTTTATGTTATCACAGTGAGGGGGCCGAACGATCATTCATTGTCCATGGGTGCGTGGCTAAATAAGGAATTCGTGGTGAGAATTCTGCTTGTTGCGTTGTTGTTGATGTTGTTGTTGTTGTAATTGTTGTAATTGTTGTAATTGTTGTAATTGTTGTAATTGTTGTTGCTGTTGCTGTTGTTGTTTGTTGTCGTCGTCCCACCCGCGACCCACCCGCGACCCACCCCGCGACCCACCCCGCGACCCACCCCGCGACCCACCCCGCGACCCACCCCGCGACCCACCCGCGACCCACCCCGCGACCCACCCGCGACCCACCCGCGACCCACCCTCGACCCACCCCGCGACCCACCCGCGACCCACCCCGCGACCCACCCCGCGACCCATCCGCGACCCACCCGCGACCAACCCCGCGACCCACCCGCGACCCACCCCGCGACCCACCCCGCGACCCACCCTCAAGGGAGGAAAAACCACCCGGACCCGACAATTGACGTTTACTAAACAGCCAAGGCGTTGACGAAACAGCCCTGCCCTGTTCGATTCACTCCGTGTGTGCGTTTACTAAACGGCTTGGCTTGTCGGAGTGATTAGTATGGGGTGGATTTCCTCCTCTCTACACCGGCGACCCACCCGCGACCCAACAACGACCCACCCGCGACCCACCCACGACCCATTTGCGACCCACCCGCGACCCACCCGGACCTGCCCACATCGGTTTAACGAGAAAATCAGCGCCTGCGGCGGGCTCGTTGTATAATTTGTGAAACTTTGGCGCCTGCGGCGGGCTTCTCCAGAGTCTCGCAGAACTGCCGACGTCCCCCCTGCCCCGTTTTTCGCTTGTTAAAGCTACGGAGGAGGATGAAAAGGGGAAGAATGAGGTCGACGCGCACGTAGCGGGGTTCAGCGCAAACGGGGCTCGGCCAGAGCGCGGGATCCAGCAGGACTTTGCAAAGCCGGATTTTTTGGGAGCCGCTCTCACGGCCATGGGGGTGCCTTTACATGTTGGTTGAGCCTGGTTCGGAAGCCTTCAACGAAAATGTGCAGCACATTTGTTCTGAATTCGTTGAGTTGGGTTTGCGTAGAGCCTGGTGAATTTGTCTCGAGGAGGCGGAGTAGCAGGAGGAAAGGGATGACAAGCAGCAGGAGGAGCGGGAGTGAGGCGCAGGACGAGGAGAAGGAGGAGCGGAGGGAGCAGCAGGAAGAGCACAACGAGCGTCAGGGAACAGGTGATTTTCAGTGCAGCCACCGGTTCCTGCCCCCCCGTCTTCGCGCACGCCGTCATCACGACACCAAAGCTTATCTGGATCGTGGCTCCTCTCGCAGTACTGCACACACAATCCCCCTCGCATTCTTGCTGCTGCCATGGCATACGCGGCGAAGGGCCTCGGGGCCCTTCTCGTCGGAGCTGCGGTGGCTCAGGGGGTGGACGTTCAGTTTCGGCCTGAGTTCCGAGAAGGCGCAGGGTCTTCAGTCGGAGTCGAGCTCGCAGGTGAGGCAGAGCTCGCTGCTGGAGTCGAGCTCGCAGGCGGGG